TTATAAGTGGCGTTCTGTCACGTCCCAAACGAATGTAAATCCGTTCGTATGGTGTAAGGTGAGGATAAGAAAAACAGAAAGAAGGAAAAAAAAGGAACGAAAAAAAAGAATGGAAAAATTAAAAAGAAATAAAAAAAATGAAAAAAAATTAAAAAGAAGAGGAAAAATCTGTATATATTTAAATTCCTAGATAACTCACACAAAACAAGAAATTAATAAAAGAAAGATAAAAAAAAAGAAAAGTAAAAAAAAATGAAAATGAAAACAAATGTTGAAAAATGAATGGAATAGTGAGAAAAATAAAAAAGAAAAGAAAGAGAAAAACAACTTATTAGGACTTACTGAATACTAACCTTTAGAAATAAATGAGAATGTATTATAAATCTAGAAAATATCAAAATATTGTAGAAATTTGACATGTTAAAATAGACTGGCAAATTGGTTATACCAACGCCATTTGAACTCATCACACACATACACAGAGTTGTAAATAAAACTATGAGAACAGCAGGCTCTCGAGTGTTTTGGAATAATCAAAATATGACGGTTTCGTTTCCTCGAATTATTCTGAGATGTGAAAGTTTTATATCTTCCATTCATAAATATAATTTGGCTTTTTGTAAATAAGGAATTTATGTACATTGACGTGTAGATGGAACTGCCAAGTTTTAGCAATCGGTTACCAACCTGACTCCTCGAACTTAGAGGATATATGGTTGAATTTTCTCACACCATAAGAAGGACGAATGCAATTGTTTTATATTTTTTGTAAGCGATTCACATCAGTTTGTATCAAAGCAGGCCCGTAAATTATATCGCAATATGTTGATCTAGACAATATGAGGGTTTCGCAATGTTTCAACTTCAATTTGGAAGTCATAATATCTCTGCTTTGATAGAGTTGACGTAAGATACTGTACGATCTACGACAAAGTGAATTTATATGTTTGTGGAATCTCAGATCAGCATCTAGCCACAAACCTCAAGTTCTTGCGTTCTGTAATTATTTGTAGTAAGTCTTGTGCAAGTTGGATTTCAATTCTTCCTTCAATTTCCCATCTTTTGTGTTTCTGGCCAAAAAATATCAACTGAGATTTTTTAGAATTCAATTTCAGGTTACGGGCTATATATAGCCCAGTAACTTTTGTAGATCGCTGTTAATTTTTTCCATTGCCACCTGCCAGTTACTTGGAGGAAATCGATAATGTAATTGAGTGTCATCTGCATAATGATGAACTGTGCAATGATAAATTATTTTATGGAAGTCAGATATATATAGAGAGAACAGAATGGGACCAAGGATAGAGTCCTGAGATACTCCATAGTCAACAGATAAAGCACTAGAAAACTTTCCATCCAGACATACTGACTGAGTCCGATTTCTGAGGTAACTTTTCAATAGATCTACAGTCCCTTCACTAAATCCGAAAAATGATATTTTCCTACAAAGAATATTGTGGTCTAAAGTATCGAATGCTTCACTGTAGTCCAAGAGTACCATGGCAGTTACTTCATTATTATCAGTTGCTTTGAATAAATCTTGGGTGATGTTGACAAGAGCGGTGGTGGTGCTATAGAATGTACGAAATCCGCTATTTAAAAAACAGTTTTCCTGGAAATTGTAGAAAAACATATATGGAATGTTTACAAATGAAGCCAAGGCTTACAATGTTAAAATGTGTAGGCGGAGTGTGCAAAATGTCGTTTTTGTTCCATTTTTTATGAAAAATATTGGTAGAAGCTACCTTATTATTCCAAAAGATTCAAAAGACGAAAGGTGACATGAATATTTATAGCGGAAAGTCAATTAGAATCCAAAAAACCAATTAATGAATTGTATTCAGGCCCGTAAAGTACATGAAAAAAATACATAACTTCAACATAGGAATATAGAAAAAATAATAATTTTAAACGACTCGAGGACTTTTTGTCCTAAAAACTTCTAACAACAACATTGAAAATGTTGAATAAACTTATATGTATTACATATTTCCCAAAATGTTTGTGTCCTCTCAACAGTTTCGGACGATTCAAGGGATGTTTGATAAGTCTATGACTTTTTTGGTTAAAAATTCATTTGACATTTCAGCGTTCTTTCAATTTTTCTATTCCTTTCAAATAATAGGTTTCCACAAGTCCCACCCGTTTATTTCAGAGATGACCTCTTCATTCGATCCAAGTCGTTTGTCACTGAATTATTTTTTGGGTTTGGAAAGTCGTCAAGGAAACATAATTCAGAGAGCAGCTCCTTCATGGAGGTATTCGAAAGTTTTCGGAAATAGGTGTGAATACCTGTCTCACTAATCCGAATTTTCACTGCTATTATCTGTGCTTAATATTTTCGAGATAGCTCACGTGAATCCTAAAATAACGATTTTGAAACTAGGTTTTTTTAATTTTATATTATCGTTTCTTTTGTCTGGTAATAACATCAATAAACTTATCTTGTAGATACACCGAGTTCAAACTAACAAAATTCGTGCAATAACTTGAGTTGCAAAAATTTATTTTCGAGTCAAGGCTTTCATGTATGATAATTTAGTAGGAATTCAAATCATCTAAACTCATGTCATTTGCATTGCAGAATTTCGAAAATTATGGATTGCACACAATTTAACCAATTAAACTTGGTGCATCTTTGAATAATTCTTAATCGATCATTGGAAGATATAATAAGCGTAAGTAATTGTCTAATGAACTATTTATTTAAACATAAGTTGCCTCATTGATATATAAATCAGGCATTGATATGCTTTAGAGGTATTGTAGAATTAATAGTTTATTTCAACGTTTATATTTGTACTTTAGGTAAGTTCCTTCTCATATTTTAATGCGCTAAAATTTGGAAATGGTCTAATGATAAATCAAATTACTTCTTTGAAATTTCGATATCTATCTATATCTATTATCAGTTTACAATAAAGTTTTTGTTACCAGTTGGTGTCCATATCGAGAGAACATTATTATTTGATCCTGCCATTTTCAAGTACATTCAAGAATTCAAAATGTTATTTCTATTATTTGGCGAAGGATTCGGTTACGACAACTAAGAATTTTTTTTCGTTTGATCTAACAAGAGACATTTTTGAACTCGGTTTTTCATATTATTTATTGCTCTTAATACACGTATTTGCTGCATTGTTGCGAAATCACTCAAAATCCTCAATCTCGAGTCTTCAACATTTTCTATCTCTCTGCCAGCATAAATCGTATTTTTCAATGTCCCCCATAGAAAATAGTCCCAAATAGTAAGATCTGGTGATCTTGCAGGCCATCTCATTGGCCCATTATTTGTCTCGAAATGTAAGGACTCCAATTCGAACATTTATTGTGCCATTATTGTATATAAATTACTTCATTTCAATTTTCATTACAATTACAGTGTTCGTTTCGGATGTTATCATTGCTATCATTTCTTTTTCTGCTCATCAAAACACATATAATATATTTTTGTTGTAGATATGTTTCAGATAATCATAAAAGGTTGTCTTATTCGAAGTTCATTGTAGAAAACGCTCAGAGCACTGGAAATATGATAAAATATGAACAGGTATCTAAAAATGAAAAAAAAACTCTCTAAAAATTCTACGGTACATAGGGAGACATTAAAGTTGATATTGTGTTTTTATTTAACTCAGTCAACCAATTTCCAGGGCAGTAATTTAAAAGGTAATAATTCATCCAATTATAATGAAATATTACCGAAACATCCCGAAATATAAAATAAAATTCAATTTCTCTAAATGAAGTGATCGTCTCGAAAAACTCTACGGTACACAGGGAGACGTGAAAGTTGCTATTGTGTTTTTATTCAACTCAGTCAACTAATTTCCAGGGCCGTAATATTCAAAGATGGGGGTGGCCCAAATCAGTTAACACCCTGTATAAAAGATTCATGGACATATTCTGGTAGCCAACATCAAGTGCCAATTGCAAAATGCATACAGATTTTCAATATGTCTGCGAATAAAGAAGATATAGGCAAAAATGTAATTTGGGATTTTTTGGTTTTTCCTGTGTATCTCCAGAACCAGAAGAGCTATATTCGATTTTTTTACATGATTGAATAGGTCTCTAAAATACGCAACTTTGCCACAATTTAACCGATACTCTATCTCTTATCGTTTACGAGATCCCCATGTACAGAAACGAATTTGAATAGCCCTGTATATGTACGTGTCTTTAAAATTCAACATTGCTGTTAACAATCTCTTGCCAAAATGTCAATTCGCTATGGTTCTGAGAATACTATAATGAACAGAGCCCGAAACACATATGTGGTTGTACTTGACTTTTGTTCCCCTTAATTTTATTTATTCATTGATTATATTTTATTTATCGGCAATTTATTCGAATTCTCAAATGATTGAGTGCAGATTTTTAGCTTCAATTCATTTTAATTTTCATTAATTTCATCCAAACCAATTTAAATCTGTACAGTTTTCAACAAAAACTCAAGAAACAGTTACATTCACTTTTAAAAAATAAATCTTTTTTCAAAAATCAGAATGATGCAACAAGTGAGTACAAGCGGTTGAAAATTCTCTCTTGAATTATGTGTCAGTCTTCTCTGAAAATTCCTCTTAGAATCTACGAAACAGTAACGTATTCAAAAAGCACTTACGAAATAATATAAAAAATATAAAGTGTGATATTTTGAAACTGAACCCGAATTAAGGTACGAGGTAACAAGTAAAGTTTCAGTTTTTTCTTCACATCTGAAAGTGCAAGACTCTGAATAGACATTGAATAGAAAATCACAATAAAATTAAATATATTAATTGATTTGTATGGCCTTTGTATGGCCTGTATTGAAATTACTTTTGATAACCTTTCTTCAAAGTATAGTTCACATCAACGTATATTTATTGTCATATATATATATGAGTTGATAATGTTTTTTTAAGATTACCTTCCATATGCAGTATGACCAGTAAAAAATAGCAACAGTTATAAAAACAAACATTTAATAATCATAAATTCTATATATACAATAATATACAAGAAATTAAATAAACTTTGTACATTAATGAAAATAATTACACATTTACATGAAATTAAATAAAAGAAATTGCTAGTCAGTCTTATACATAGATACAAAAATCTGAAAAACGCCCAGAGTTCACATTGCACTTCATTATCGCGGAAGGTATATTTACAAAGAGGCGTTCTGATATCTCACTAGATGAATAAAGTACAGATAGAAGTATAAACTCTCGTAATGAAAATGAAACTTCTATCAGCAAGGTACGTATTGCAAAGGATTACTTATCACTTTTTTGTCACTGAGGAATATTCAACATGGGACCCGCAAAAGCGAAGTTTGGAGGCCTATGCGCCATGGCTGCTAAGAACGGAGATACAAGGTGGTTGCCTCCATGGAAAAGGCCGAAACTTGGGGGTAGGAGGGGCCTTGCTGAAAGGCGAAGTTTTTCTAATTCTGCTTCTTGAAGCCTCTTTGCTTTTGCTCGACGATTTTGAAACCAGATTTTGACCTGTAACAAAAATTATAATATAATTAGCTGTAATGAATATTAAATAATAATGAATTCAATTCGTTATTGTAGTGAATTAAATCAAGAAGATGATCCTGAACGTGAGGTTTTCAAATCGATTGGGAAGCAGATACACCCTTCATGCTGCTCTCTATTATTGTTTCATGAATCTCCAACAGCGAAAATCTAGCTTCTGTTGGACCAAAGTCATTATGATTCAAGTCAAGTGACTAGTCAATCTTTATGATTTTCAATATAGTAGAACATGCTCTCATGTTCAGACTCTCACTATGCTTCATCGTGGATAGTCGATGAATGGATTTCAAATATCAAATGTCACAACCTTGAACATGATGAGCCAAATAGCAAACGGATCCGTGTCAACAGCATTGAATTTATTGGAGCCTCTGGAGACACCCTACATTTTGTTTTATAAGAGAGAGGATATTGTTAGATCAAGATCTTCAGATGATGTGGTGCTGCATGTTTTTCAGCAGCTGAAAAAGCAAATGCGCCACTGGAATCATTGAAGTCGCCCCGGAGCGCCAATTAATTTTTATTGTTGTTTTCATTTTATTTTTATCGTTGTTTTGATGAGATTTTATTTTATGAAATTGTTTGCTGTCAAGATTTTCAATTTTTCTTGAAATTTCAACGAATCATTATTTATCTTTTTTGTTGTCAACGATATCAACTAGGAACTATGTTAATCAGCATCGTGTTCTGGGTAGGTTATATTAATAACTTCTGGAGCCACCTCATAGGGAGCATCATGGCTATTCAGTGTCATCATCCATTCAACGTGAGTTTGACACAATACCAATTGCGCCAATTCATCTCTTGTTTTCAGTTCCAGATAATCATAAAAGGTTGTCTTATTCGAAGTTCATTGTAGAAAACGCTCAGAGCACTGGAAATATGATAAAATATGAACAGGTATCTAAAAATATAGAATTTTTTTAACCCTTTCCCGCTTAGCATCAAACCGGAGTTTATTAATGCCACAGAAATTGCGAAATAAATCGAGTTACTATATTTTATATTGATATTTCAGAATGCTAGAATGTTAGGAATTATATTTTATATTTTTTCATTGAGTGTACCTAAAAGGATTGTTACATTGGTGGGCACGATTTATTCGAGTTCGACTAGAACTGCATGTTATCACATGCAGTGGATGCTGTCTACAGGTGACTACATATTAGAGAAATATATGAGTGTTCAACGTTAAAAGTGAAATAAATATAAAGAAAATGATCAGTTTTCTGTATTGATAAAAAATAGACGACCTCACTTTGGAATTATTTGAAAAACTCAGTTGAAATATCATCTAACTGTTAATTGGGAAATATACCTGAGTTACTCTTGACATTCATGACAAGTTTTATGGCATTCATTTTTTTCCTCATAAATTTTTAATCAATATCAGGTACCTAATGCGTTTGCAATTGTTATTTAAAAATTACCGATCGAATCAATCAGTCGCACCAAATGAAGCCATTTGTAAAGGCAATCAAACATACACAGTTTCATGATCATTTTCGAGTACTTAGCTAGTGAAAGCAATTAAATCAAATTTCGATAGACCAATTTTTCAATACTTTACTAAGAAGAAAGTCATATTTATTCAAAAGTAGTCAAGTTTCTTGGCAAATTTGTTTCGTGAACATTTTTGGTTTTAGAGAGTGAAAATAATATTTATGTTACAAAAATAACATGAATAGTCTACTGAAATCAATATTTCGTAGAGTGGTTCAAAGGAAAAAAATGAAACCTTTTAGCGAAAATAAGATATTCAAATAATTCAGGAGCCAAGTCAAGTTCATTGATATATCACCCAATCATAGCCGCAACTACAAGCTGTGAACATTTTATGCAAATGTGAAGATCGGTCTACCTTTCTTTCAAAATTTATTGGATCTCAAAATTGTAACCTTCATAAATTAGACTTGGTCTTACCTGTGTTTCGGTCAACCTTAAAGAACTCGAAAACTCGGCTCGTTCTGCTATACTCAAATATTGTTTGTCTCTGAATTTCTTTTCGAGAGCTAATAATTGCTGGGTAGTAAACGGTGTTCTTGGTTTTCGATTTGGTTTATGTTTCCTCAGAGCGCATCTCACGATTGGGGGTCCGCCGTTTGAAGTCAGATTTTGTAAGTTTGCTGAAACAAAAAAATTTGATGTCAAAGGTATTTATAACCGAAAGTTCAAAAAGATTGTAATGGTCAAGAGGAACAGAAATCAAAAGAGATTATTATTCAATGGTTGTTTACCATAGAGGAGTAACTAAATGTTGAAGTTGAATGCCGCTTCCATTGAAATTGCATATAAGTCCATTAAGTAAATAAAGACACATTATTATTATCATTATCAATTATTACTTCTCAAAGACACGTAAGTGGAAAAATATAATAAGTCAAAACTGGCACAATTACTGGAATAGGTATTTTAGTACCTAACGAGTATTATGTTAGGAGTAAGACAGTAGGAACTGTTTAAATTTAAAAAAAGAGGAAAAAATGTTCAACGAAAACTCGGAGAAAATATGTTTCTATTAAGAGTATATCATATAGGAATTACAGAAGAAATCACCTATTGCTTCTCAATTTTTATTTCCAACATTCCCTAATAAAATTTAAACATTCATTATTCTGCCTAAAATAATAAAAAGAAAATTTATTGAGGATTATCTCAGATGATAACTTCAATAACCTTATAATCTACAGGTAGAAAGCCATTTCACTGAGCGAAATTATATATCAGGAGATAATATTAATTGTATGCTTCATACAATTAATAGATTTTTCTATAAATTATATTGAAAGGAAATTCTTAGTACCTAATTCCATACCCAAAGGGAAGTACAGCATATATGGTCTTTTGTTTGGTGGATTGCTTATAAAGAAAACATCTAAAATCAATTTACACCCACTTTCTTGAAGTGTGTTTTAAAGAAATATTATTGTTTTTATACCTATCATTAAAGAAGAAGGAAGACAATTCACAAGATATCACTTTCTTCATGTAATATTTTCTTTTTTATATATCGTTCACAAACTAGATACAAAAATATTTCTCTATAATTCTGTATGGAGATAAATATTGTAGAGTTCAAAATATCTAGCGACGCAAATATGTAACGTGGATTTAAAAATGTAAGTTCCAGCGAAAGAAGGAAAATATTCATCAAAAACAAGGCAAAATATATAACTGAATATAATAATCATCGAAGAAATACATGACATATAAAATAATAAGCTGAATTAATTTTGGAATATACGAGACATAATATTTCATAGAAGAGGTGAGATTAATTGAACAACAAATTGATCGAATTTTTTTGTATGAGATGCCTAATCGACGCCAATTTCCATTCATAAGAACAGGTGATGAAAATATTATAAACAGTGCTAGTCAAAACTTCTGCACCAGCTTAGGAAAAATTTCTTTTATATTGATTTCTCGAAATAATATCTTCACGAAATTTGGTGTTTTGTTTCCATTCCAAAATATAATTACCGAGTCAAATTTCATATTTTTCTATTCTATACAAGGTTATGTTTATGTCATGTCAATCAATGAAGTTCATAAAGGTTTCGAAGCCATACATTATTATGAAGAAAAACTGTTTTCCAAATTCGAATGAAGTGGTGCTTCAGTTGATATCTTCTACAAAAAAATAAAATATTAATGTTTTTGACTCAAGTTGCAAATCTGAATATATTGCTTGTATTCACAAACAACATTTTTCCGTAAAACATTTTAATATTTGGAAAATCAGGATGAGAACTTCACCTGATTTTCACCTAACTATATTAATGAACACGATTTAAAGAGAAATCAATGAGAGATAAAAGTTTCCATACCTATATGGGTTGAAATTTTCCTTCATTTGGAAATAATTTTCAAATGTTTCTTCTTTTTTATATAACCTGCATTCGTATCATGTTCGTTCTCAATCAAGCAATTCTTTTAAAACATTGTTATCACTAAATTCCATTGTAAATTTGATATAGATAAAATTTTCAAATGATTTGTAAACAGTGAAGAATAATTGAAACTTCATAAAAATACATGGTCGAAAGTGCAATAAATATGTAGGTACCTACCTACCTACATGAACCTATCATGATGTCAGTAAAAAATAACTGAATATCAGTTATTAGGTGTACCTACTGACACTAGATGAATGATTACCTTGTATTCAAATCATAAACAATTGCATTTTTAGAAACTAGCAAATCACATTGGAAAACAATTTGTATTTTTAATAATAACATTTACTTAGTAACTCTGAACAGAAAATATCTTTTTAAATTTCAATCTATATATTTTACTTACATTCTCTTCTGAAACGAATCGTGAATAATATATTTTCAGAAAATGATATTTAACTAACACTTTTACCAATGAAAAATTGTATCCAAATCGTACAATCAAATTATTAACATTGAGAGTGTTTACAGAACTTTATAACACATTCTTATTGAACCAAAATAGGGCAATATCAAATATATATTGTAATATCTGCAAAGCACGTCGCACGATATTATATTACTGACAATTAAGTATTCTTTACATCTTGTACGACATCGAATATTTCGTAACGTTCGTCTGAATCAATTAGATATAATTAATATCCCGTACAGAGACAAGATAAATCTTTGGAATGGCTGCAAAACACACAGTTATAAAAATGCTACACAATAATGGTTCTCAGAACAAAACAGATATGGAGACAAACCATAATGCCAAGTTTGCGTCTCTGTCGATCCACCATTTAGCTTGTTTTATACATTTTACTATTCATGTCATGAATAATTAATTCAAAAAATTAATTAACCCAGTGGGTATAGCAGTGATGACTCTGCAAAATCCTTCCATTCGCCATGTAATTGCGTATTAATTTTTTAATTAAATAGCCTCTAACGTCGACTGCCCCATTAATCAAACTTTACAGACACTTACATTTAGGAAAATTAGAGTTCACTTTAGCGGAATCATGTATAATGCAGAACATGATATTTATTCAGAACCTAACTGTATTATAGTTTTGAGAATTTGTGTGTGTGTGTGTGTGTGTGACGTTTTAGGTCTCAGCTGGGAAACTCTGAAATTACCTTGTGGTGATGATGATCTGAATCCGGCGGGTCCGATCCACTGAAACGGCCACTGTGGATGCGATCCAGGCATCAGTCTGGGCATAGAAGGGTGAAGAGGTTGAGGGATCAGTACCGTGTGGGAAGAATTTGGACTGAGACTTTCTCTCCCATCCGTATCGTCATCGTCAACGGTGATATTTTCGTCGTCGTCCTCGTCATCCAATTTTTCACTGGATGTATCTAATCTATTATCATCTATATCGTCATCGAACTTATCTTCTAATCTGTCTTCTTGCGAGGATTTCGTCGACGAAAGAAGAGACTCCACACTGAACGATATTTTCGTTTTGATGTCCGTTTTCGTCTCCTCCATGTTTGAATACATTTTCAATTTATCACTAACAGTTTATTCACACTATTCAGCAAAAACTATAGTTATTTTCACGATTCAGTTATCGTTCAAGTTTACAACCGGAAAAGGTATTTTTTGTGGTGTTGTCCGGAGCAGATACTCGAATAGACTGAGTTGTCGGAGCCAAGTGGAGAGGGATCATGCTTCTGTGGGCGTGTCGTTGAAAGTTTAAGCCCGGCCCCCTATTTATTACCCAAATCAGGCCGGTGAATTGATGGCCCTTTACTAAATTTGTGCATTTGAATGACGTAGCGTGATTTTGCCATATTATATTATTTGTCGTTGTGTGACTACTATTAATTTAAATTGATTATGGTACGGCTTATTCATAACTAGTTTGACAGTAACATTTGTCTTATAGCACTATTACAAGTTAGAATATATGTATTTCCTAATTAACCCCACCAACGAAAATAATTTCTGTATATGAATAATAAAAATGGCTCCTATTCGTATGTTCCTATATGAATTGGAACAAAAAATTTAAACGTTTCGATTTTTAGAAAACGTGAAAAAAGATAATAAATTCTGAGAACCTATAAAAGCGGAGTTTATTCTTTCTCTTGAAGATGATCACTTGGTGATCGAAACACGTGTCGAGGTGTTGAAAATAACGATTTGGTGTTGGGAAAAAACTCCAGTAATATTTATAAAATCGCAATTCAACAAAATTCATAGATCCAAGGGAGTTAAAATTAAACAAAATTTCGAGAAATGCATGTATGGTAATGTGAAAATAATATTGTTGAATCACATGTAGATTGGATGAAAAATACATGATAAATACATTGCAAATACTTTCACAATCATGTGAATTTACATCAAAAATAAATTTGATACTATAACAAATAATTTATAATTGTTCTATACGATTTTTTATGTGGATTTCAGATGTTAATAAGTCATTAGAATTCAAGAGACAAAAAATTTAGGAAAAAAATCAAGTTTTTTAAATAAATTTTATCGAATAGGGGTATTAACTAGATATACCTAGATACATTAATTTGGTTACTTGAAGATAAGCGAAGAATTTAAAAAACTATGACTATAATGAAAATTATGAAAAGCTACATTGTTAAGTAGCTATCCTACAGTTAGAAATATACCTACCCATATTCCTGTAGGTGAACCTAGAGAACGCAAATAGTGCTTTAAATGTTATTTACCTAATAATAGCTACATAGTGATGATGGTCTACAATAGAGATTAAAATCGACTATTAAAGTGTAGGCAGTATAGGTAGCAGCGCATACATTCATTATAACCTAAATGAACAATGCCAAATTCTGATTTACTCTTTGTGGCCTTTGTTTGATAATACTTGAATATACAGGGTGACTCTGAGTAATGACACCATAACTTTGTTTTAAACGAGACTTCTTTCTCATTAACGTATTTGTTCATTGCAGCAAATAAATACCACTTGACAATTCAGCCTTATTTTAAAGAAAATCTACACAATCTACAATCATAAACATGGAGTCAGTAGTGGAAGGCACATTATAAGTGCAAAAATATAAGGTGGAATTTGTAGTTCTGTGATACTGCTAACAGACGAACGAAAAGGTCCCTGTAAACAATAAAACATTAGGAGTTGTGAATCAAATACACTGATATGGAATGACCAGCATGGGAAAATTGGAAACAGTAAGATGTACTTACAAAGTTGAATTAGGTAAATATTCGGAGGTGTTCGAAAAGAACCCAAATTCGCTAATCTCGTTCCAATTTTTTTGACGTTGTTAGAGAATATAATGAAAACACTGTTCAAGTTCTACAACTACAGATTGCAGATTTTTATTAGACGTTTCGTTTCCGAGAAAACATCACCAATTTTATTTTTTATAAAGACCGGAAAAAATAATCCGATGTAACTTAGCCTTTTTGAAGAAAACTTCACTGATGTACCTATCACCGTAGTTGTTCGATTAGTAAATTTTAAATCTTCATTTAAATGAGCTCCAAAATGCATGAGCAACTTCAGGATTTTCCTCCTTATGTTGGACACATTGCATTCTATTCAAAAATACTGGTGATGACTACAGTACTGAAAGGTACTGTTATTTTGAACAATAGAAAACAAAAATAAAAAATCTAGGGCAATTTTCAATAATATTGTTCATTCAGTTGATAATGAATGTATACCTTACTTTATTGACGCACTGTAATATTTTGAATAACTTGTACTTTGTTCAGAACATTTTAAAATATTCTCTCCACACTGTCATAGAATGTTGAATCACTTGCACCACGAATCACAGATATTTCGTTCTAAAAACTTTCCCAAATATTGGAAATCAATATCATCTACCAACAACTCAATTTGGGCACTGTTTGGAACCTTTGGCATAACAATGAATATTACTGGAATGTATCCCAACACCAAACCGTTATTTTTAACACCTCGACATGTGTTTCGATCACCAAGTGATCATCTTCAAGAGAAATATTAAACAGTTTGATCTTCAAGAGGAAAATTTAATAGTTTAATCTTGGTGATCGAAACACGTGTCGAGATATTGAAATAACGGTTCGGTGTTGGGATACAACTCTAGCAATATTCAACTAAATTTGGAACAATATTTATGTTCATAATTTTATGTAGGTAAGTGATTATTAAAGATATTGATTTTTGTTTCTGTTATAATCAAGTCGAGGAGGCTATATTATGAGTCGATCTGTTTCCAACTTTCTTCAGTAGCTTCAAATACTTGGTACTATAGTGATATAGTTATGAATAGAACTATTGCTGGACCACCCAGTAAACTCATAGCTATCCATTGGACCTCCACTGGATATCCCAAACGCACTTCACGAATATCTAATGGACATTTGATGCGTATCCAATGGATATGCATGGGATATGGATATTAACCACAATAAAATAATTTTCTTCTCCTCATATCACATTCGTTAACATAAAACATTAGCGAAACACGCATTTAATATAATTTTATCATTCATTGAAATGGGAATACCAATTTCGTCTATTAGATCTCCATTATATAATTTTTAAGATATGTATGAAAGATATGAAAGAACTTCAATCATTTGACTTACCGATGAAACCTTTCATATAACACTTTCAGAAGCATTCTAACGCAAACTTTAACAATTCACTTGAAAACAGAACACATCTCATAGAAATAACCGATAGAACTGTTCATTTGAGTTGAGGAATTTCGATTAGCCTAAGAACCCTAAGAAGTACAGGAGGAATTACATGCAGAATTTTGTTAGTTTTGGTAGTTTTGTGATATAACTTTATCTATTAACGTAATAGCTCAAGTAAAGAATGGTGCTAGAATTAACTTTAGACTAGAATTGTTTTATGGCCTTATTAGGATACCATCAATACCGTAATAACAAGTATAAATAATACATTTTTCAGCAACTCAGAAAGTCGCGCTCAACAATAAATTCAGTGTTCGATGTCATTTCTGGAGTGATTGAGAAACTTGAGCAGGGCAATCACACTGCGTTGATGCTTTGTGACCTGTCGAAAGCGTTCGACTGCGTCCTACATGAAATTCTGTTAGAAAAATTAAACTATAACGGGGTTGGAGTTATTCCGCTTTAATTAATAAGAGCCTATCTTACTAATCGTCAACAAGCAGTGATGATCAACGGCACTTTATCAAACTTTCGAATTATTAAGCATGGCGTTCCGCAAGGGTCTGTTTTAGGCCCGCTCTTATTTGTCATTTATGTGAATGACTTGTGCAAATATGTGATGCCGTTTGAATCTGTTCTCTTTTTGGACGACACCTTTTCCACTCTGTCGGATAAAAATAATAATATGTTACAGTCTTATCCCGACGAGGTATCTAATTGTGCTAATCAGTGGTTTCTATCTAATGAGCTGAAACTAAATAGTCAGAAAACACAACACATCCAGATTTCTGCTAGTAATCAAATTATCTCCAATTGTGAAACTAATAAAGGTAAATTCATTACATTGGATAATAGACTCAACTGGCCCGCAGATATTTCTCAACTGAAGAGAAAACTCTCGGGTTTTCTATTTGTTCTTCGCCAATTGAAGTACATCACTAGTGAAAATATATTAAAATCCTCATATTTTTCACTGTTTTACTTCCCATATTAGTTATGGTGAACAACTTTGGGAAAATTCAAATATTTAGGATGCAAAAGAATGCATTGAGAGTGCTGGCTAATATTGAATACAGGGATCACTGTTTGGAAAAAAAAATTAAAATATGTTTTTCCTGTTAACCAGCTATCGTACAACTTTGATTGACAACCCTCAAAAGTCGAAACTTGTGCGAGTTAAGGACTAACGAGGTCTTAACGTGTGATTCCTAACACGGGTTGTACGATAGCAAGTGAAAATCGAGCCTTCAGCCAGGGGCTTGAACCGTCGACTCACACATCGTCCGATTGACTGAGTTAACAAAGCACCCACGTCGAACCGCCCGGCTATCGACTGGCTGCTGTCAAGAAAATCTCAAAAAGCTCAGAATTATGCTACTGCCAACTTTATTCCCTTATTATGTTTTGATTGGAATTCATGAGAAAAAACCATCCTTGGCGAAACAATGTCATATCCACGAACATGACACAGGAAACGCTCACCACATTAGAATAAATCGATTTCGTCTTCACTTATCGCAAAAAAATTCCATAGATTAGGTTCTCTTTGTACAATATTTCGCGCCAAGATTTCAAAGAGCTCAGTTCGAATAGTTACAAAGAAAATTGAAAAATAAATTGTTGGGGCTTTGTTTCTATTCTGTCCATGACTTCAGAACACATTTTGGTGGTAACACACATGTCACTACTTCTTTTTGATTTTCAGAGTTTTCATATAGGTATGTGATTATTGTTATTTGCTTGTAAATTTCAACTTGTAAATTTTATTATTGTATTATGTAACGTAGTCAAATAAATATTATTATTATTGTTATATCATTGATAGGAGTGAAGATGAAACTGAATAGGTAGATAAGGTTGACAGAGAACTCAATCCTCAAATATCAAACATAAACAAGGATTCCTAAGGTGGTCAGTTAAAAAGCCAAGCTTCGACATCGACCGCTGACGAGATTCGTCCTCTGTCTTTCAATGCAGCTTTCACTGCAAGGCAACTAGTTG